CCTCTCCCTCCTGTGTTCAAGTGATTCTCCTGTCTCAGCCTCTGGAGTAGCTGGGATAATAGGCGTGCACCACCACATGCAGCTAATTTTTATATTTTTGGTAGAAATGGGGTTTCACCATGTTGGCCAGGCTGGTCTCAGAACTCCTGACTACAGGTGATTCACCTGCCTCATCCTCCCAAAGTGCTGGGATAACAGGCATGAGCCACCACGCCCGGCCTAGCAAGAATCTTTTAATGGGAGTCTTAATAGGAGAAAAAGCAAGAGTCTTTTAACAGGAGGTTGGTACTGAGAAAAGATTTGGGAAAACTTAACAAGTTAGGGCTTGGAAAATACTGGGTTTGGCAATGTATAGTGCTTTTTGGAGTGAAATGAGCCATGCAATGGAGTTTTTGTTAGTTTTCTCTACCTTATTTTGGTTTTTGATTGTTTCTGTTTTGTAGGCTCTTCAAAGAAATAAGTTTCCGGGCCCCAGCCACACTGAGTCTTACTCTTGGCCTCCCATAGCGCGTGGCTGTGATGTGGTTGTCATTTCTCACTGTGAAAGCAGCCCTTTGCTCTACCTCCTACCAGTGTTGACAATTTTGCAAACAGGGGCCTGCTACAAGTCATTACCAAGTAGAAATGGAGTAAGTCAAAGACAGTTTTGCCTCACAACCAAATGGGTTAAATATTTATTTTAAAATTATACACCTCACCTTTGGGGAAGGTCATCCGTTACTCAGTTTGGTTTTCAAACTTCCAGGCCAGAAACTGTCCTATGGGAGAGTGTCCTTTCCCCATTCCAGTTACTGATGCTCTCACACTGATTCTTACCTGGAGCCTCTAGTTGTGGGCCATTGGCTGAAGCTCTTAGAAATGGATGTTGAGGCCGGGCATGGTGGCTCACTCCTGTAATCCCAGTACTTTGAGAGGTTAAGGTGGGTAGATCGCCTAAGGTCAGGAGTTCGAGACCAGCCTGGCTGACGTGGTGAAACTCATCTCTACTAAAAACATAAAAATTAGGTGGGTATGGTGGCGTGTCTGTAATCCCAGCTACTTTGGAGGCTGAGGCAGGAGAATCACTTGAACCTGGGAGGTGGAAGTTGCAGTGAGCTGAGATTGTACCATTGTACTCCAGTCTGGACAACAAGAGCGAAACTCTCTCAGAAAAAAAAAAAAAGAAATGGATATCAAGTGTCTAAAACGCTGTCATGGACCTGAGTCTATCTAACTATCACAGCAGCAGCATGAGATGGGCAGGCCATGTGTTGTTCTCACCATTTCACGGAGGAGAAAATGAGGCTCAGGAAGAGTTACTGCGGTAAATTTCCCCCTGACAGGGCTAGGAGTGGGATTGAAGTCTGAGCTTCCGCTGCCTTGTCCCGTGCTCTGTCAGTCATTTCCTAGCTCCCCACCCTGCTTCATAATCCTCCTTAACTTTTCCCATGTGGGAAAACCTCAGAATGACTATTAAGTCTGTTCTAGCATTGCTATAAATATCTGAGGCTGAGTAATTTATAAAGAAGAGAGGCTTAACTGGCTCATGGTTCTGCAGGCTGGAGTGGAAGCATGATGCTGGCATCTGCTCGGCTTCTGCGGAAGCCTCAGGAAACTCACAATCGTGGCAGAAGTCTAAGGGGGAGCAGGTGTGACACATGGCTGGAGCAGGAGCAGGAGAGATGGAGGTGCCACATACCTTTAAACACTAGATCTCAGAAGAACAGCACCAAGAGGACAGTGCCAACCCATTCGTGAGACACTGCCCCCATGATCCAGTCACTCCCCACCAGCCCCCACCTCCAATACTGGGGATTACATTTAACATGAGATTTGGGCGGGGATGCAGAGCTAAACCCTATCACCGAGAAAGAGGTGATGGGAAAGAGAGGAGCGGCGTAAAGGTAAACGATGTGGGGCATGGCCCTGTGCTGCTGGGTCGCGGCTGTTAGGAGGCTGATGGGTGTGGAACCTGCATCTCGGGGCCTGGCACTGAGGGTGCTCCAGATAGGGCTCCACCAGTGAAAAACAGCAGTAAGGAGACATAGGGTTGCAGTTAGAAAAGATACTAGCTCATTTTTCTAACCATGCCATGCAGTTTTATGATTTCCCTTTAGAAAGTTGCATCTATTGGCCGGGCGCGGTGGCTCACGCCTGTAATCTTTGGGAGGCCGAGGCAGGTGGATCACAAAGGTTGAGATTGAGACTATCCTGGCCAACATGATGAAACCCCGTCTCTACTAAAAATACAAAAATTAGCTGGATGTGGTGGCACGTGCCTGTAGTTACAGCTACTCGAGAGGCTGAGGCAGGAGAGTCGCTTGAACCCAGGAGGTGGAGGTTGCAGTGAGCCAAGATCGCGCCATTGCACTCCAGCCTGGGCAAGAAGAGTGAAACTCCATCTCAAAAAAAAAAAAAAAAATGTTGCATCTGTTATTTTTAATTGATTTAATCAAATTAATGTTTCTGTCTCCCAATTTACTTAGCAGCAGACTAATGAGAAGCAACTGATGAGAAGTCGCTTATGTTGAGGCCGAACCCTGGCTCAGGGCAGAAAAGGATGTCCAGATCTCATCCCTGTGGCCCCCAGCTTTCTCCACGCCTCCATGGTCAGCCTGCTTTCAGGCCTGTGCCTGGAAGCTGGGCCCACCTGGATCTGTGTGAATGAAAGAGGATCCTCAGCTTGTCTTCGGTTACTGGCGGGTGTGTGTCCAGCAAGGTGTCTGGCAGGCAGTGCAGCTTCAGGAGTTACCTGTGGGCTTGCAGAGGGCAGGTTTCAGAAGATAGTCTCCTAAGGAAGAGGGGTTAGTCGTCTTTTTTTTTTTTTTTTTGAGATAGAGTCTTACTCTGTCACCCAGGCTGGAGTGCAGTGGCGCCATCTCAGCTCACTGCAACCTCTGCCTCCTTGGTTCGAGCAATTCTCCTGTCTCAGCCTCCTGAGTAGCTGGGACTACAGGCACACACTACCAAGCCTGGCTAATTTTTGTATTTTTAGTAGAGATGGGGTTTCACCATATTGGTTGGGCTGGTCTCGATCTCCTGACCTCAGGTAATCCACCCACCTCAGCCTCCCAAAGTGCTGGGATTACGGGCGTGAGCCACTACACTCAGCCAGGGTTCGTCTTTTTTAGGGCCCCTTTCAAGAGGCATTTAGTTCATTCTAGTGCTTAGGATCCATGCAGGGGATCTGAAGCCAGACTGCCTGGGTTCAAATCCTGTTGCTACCATGTATTAGCCATGCAGCCTTGGGTGACTGACTTCACCTCTCTGTGCCTCAAATTCCTCACCTATGAAATGAAGCAGTGATAGCCTCTGCCGCATAAGAGCATCTTAAGAGCCAAATGAATGAATACTTGTGAAGTGCTTCATTGAGACTCTCAGAAAATATGACTCAATGTGTCTAAATCTGTTTTAATGAATTATATCATCACTTTTCCGACCTGTGTGATGATTATAGCAGAAACTTACAGGGTGCTGCTTCTGTGCAAGGATATGTTCTTGATGTTTCACATGTGGATGCTGAATTCCTAACTACTGTCTGGAGTCATTTGAATTTGTCTGTCTTCGCAGCCTCTTGCAGTCATTGTGTGCCCTGGGTGGAAGAAGGCCCAATTTATTTTTGAATTATTGGGAGAATATAGTATGTCCTCCAGGCCTCTTCATCCTGTGCTATTAACAATCGGGCTCCATAAAGAGGAAGCCAAAAATACGAAGCTTCCAAGGGGCTGTAAGTATCCTTTTCAAACAGCTATAAAAGTGAAAGTATCCTTTTCACTGTCTTCCCTACAGAAGACAGTAGAGCCTGGCCAGACGGGCCTGGGTCCGCAGTGACACAGCTTGTGTGACAACACACTCACAGTCACTAGTCCAGACCTACTTCCCAGCTCCCAACAGTATCATTTACAAAGGCTTGATCTTGACTTACGTCTGCTTCACTGAGAAAACTATGTCATTTCATTCGTTTATCACTTTTTCACTCAACACTTAAACTGTTAGATGCTGGGCATATGGGATTGACTAGGACAGAAGCAGTGTTTTACTTCATTAGAAGGCATTTCTAAAAAGTATGTGGACTCTTAGCAGAGGAAATCTTAGAAAAACCTGTGGAAAATTGAAAATGTTCACTTTTTCCTTTAAATGCAGGTGATGTGATTGTTACGACCCCATACAGCCTGCTGAGGCTTCTCGCCTGTCAGAGCCTGCTGTTCCTCAGGCTCTGCCACCTGATCCTGGATGAGGTGGAGGTGCTCTTCTTGGAAGCTAATGAACAGGTGAGCGTGGCTTAAGGTCTTCACCACTCAGAAGAGAGGTGTGATTAACATGCTAACTGACAGCAGGAAGGAGGAAAAGTGTCTGGTTGGGGAATACATTGGTTAATCTAAACAAATTTTATGCTTTAACTTCTATAATTAAGAAGAAAGAATTGTTATCTGAAATTTCCTTCCCAATGTTAGAGTTCTTTCTGAAGTGCAAACATTCTTTCCCAGAGATTTCCTAAGATAGTTAAAATTTTTCTGATTACGGAAGTAATGATTTTTATTTTAGAAAATTTAAGACATGGAGAAGAGCACTTGAAAAACGCAGCCCCCAGAGCCATAGTCTCAGAAAGAATCCCTCTTACTATTTTGGAGTACTTGCTTCTTTTTCTTTGAATTCTTGTGTTTGTTGATACATATAGTTAATAACATCAGGGGCTTGTTTTACAGGCCATTTTGTAGCCTGCATTGTGCAGGGCGTGGCAGTGTAAGGGACACTGCCTCCTGTTCCACAGCCTGGTGGTTACTGGCCATACAGTATGCAGTTCTTTGGACATCACAGAATTTGTTTTAAAACTGTCTTAATTTTGGACATTCAACATAATTTGTATATGTGTGTGGCTACAGAACATGCATATTTTTTGCACCTGTTTCCTTTAGGATGAATTCCTAAGAGGGGTTTCATGGGTCATAGGCTTTGAGCTCTTGTAAGGCTTTTCTTGGAAGCAGTGTCACACGATCATCAAGGGCATGCGCTTGGAAGCAATGATGGCCCCAGTTTCCAGTCCAGGCTTTGTTACTGATGATGGGGCTGTGCAGGGTTCCCGAACTCCTCTGAAGTCTCAGGTTCTGATTTTTGTAAAACAGGTATCTAGGCGCACTGCTCTGTGCAGCGTCCTTTCTGAAAGCGTGACCTGATGTGCACTCCTGTCAGCCATGTGCCAGGCTATCCACACCGCTGCCAGAGCAGGCTTGGCCCCGCTTCCAGTCTAACTGGCCAACAGTGGGATCTTGTCAGCCTAATTTATATTTCCTTGATTACTTTTTAGGTTGAACATTAATTCGTATTGATCATTTGTATTCACTCTGAGTTGCTTGTTCATTTCCTTTTCTTATTTTCTGTTGGTAGGATCATCTTTTGCTAATCAGTTTTTAGAAGTTTTTATGCGAGAACATTAATCTCTTATTAGTTTGTTATGCATGTTTACCAAGATGTTGCTTGTGCTTTAGTTTTGTTTATAATGGAGATTGTAGGATATTTGTTGACTTTAAACTTGACATTTTCTCCTATTTAGTTTTTGCTTTTTTTTTTTTTTTTTTTTTTGAGACTGAGTCCCACCCACTGGAGTGCAATGGTGCAATCTTGGCTCACTGCAACCTCCTCCTCCCGGGTTCAGGCAATTCTTGTGCCTCAGCCTTCCAGGTAGCTGGGATTACAGGTGCCTACCACCATGCCCAGCTAATTTTTTGTATCTTTAGTAGAGACGGGGTTTCACCGTGTTGGCCGAGCTGGTCTCGAACTCCTGACCTCATGATCCACCTGCCTCAGCCTCCCAAAGTGCTGGGATTACAGGCGTGAGCCACCACACCCGGCCTTTTCCTTTTATTTTTGAAAGACTTTCCCCACTTTGAGAACAGAAAATACACAATCCCTAACATTTTATGTTCTGTCACACTAGTTCTTACTCTTTTGAAATGAAAACGAAAGTAATTATACTAATTTTTCAGATGTTTGCTATATTAGATAACTTTAAAAAAAATATTGAAGTTGAAGAAAGGGAATCTGCACCACATCAGATTGTTGCAGTTGGAGTTCATTGGAACAAACATATAGAACATCTCATCAAAGAGTTCATGAATGATCCCTACATTGTAATCACAGCCATGGAAGAGGCTGCTCTCTATGGCAATATCCAACAGGTAATTCTCTGTGTGTGTGTGTGTGTGTATGTGTGTATGTGTGTGTGTGTGTGTGTTGGTGGGGGGCTGATGAACACAAGCAAGTAACTTTTATTTCATGGCTTACTATTAAACAATTACAACTTTGATTTCATATATAAATTATGAGTGAAATACAATTGTAGTTGAATATTTAAATATATATTGATTTCCTATACATTCTTTTCTATTAAAATCCCAACACCTATGGAAAGTGGATCTGGAGCACCTAGAATATTAAAAAGTCACATCCTTTCTGTGCTTCATTACCAGGTAGTACATCTTTGCCTAGAAAGTGAAAAGACTTCTACTTTACTCCAAGCTCTTGATTTCATTCCAAGTCAGGCACAAAAGACCTTGATCTTCACCTGCTCTGTAGCTGAAACAGAAATAGTGTGTAAGGTGAGCCCATCTCCATATAAAAAATGTTCCGTTTGTTTCAACTGGTTGAATCTCAAGTCATCACAGAATTACTGGGGTAGTCGACTGTGTGGCAGGGAAGTACAGTTTTACAAGTTTAACAACAATCAGAAGAGGAGGTGGGGTCTGCTCACAGAACATGGAGGCTGAGGCCTGGTGCTGGGGAGGAACCAGGAGGGTGGGCAGGGCCTTTCCCCTGCAGCAGCATTCCCCAGGGCAGGGCAGTTTTGTCTTGGTGGAGTATTAAAAGTATCAATTTATAGACATGACAACATCTTCTGTACCCTCTGTTTATGAAGATTGAGGTGGCTCATGCCTGAATCCTAGCCCTTTGAGAGGCCGAGGTAGGAAGATGGCTTGAAGCCAGGAGTTCAAGACCAGCCTGGGCAACATAGTGAGACCCTGTCTCAAAAAAAAAAAAAAAAAAAGAAGATTGAGAAGATAACAGTAAAAGATATCGTATAGCCAAAAAACAAATAAATTGGCTAAAGATTTATTCAGTTTTATTTTGTACATATTAGTGGTAAAACGTAGAAATGAAGCCAACTACCAAATAGTTAATAGTACATCTACCTTTCTGCAACAGTGAGCTAGAAGTATAGTTACATGATACTGTGGTCAACAAGGACTTTCTATCTGTTGTGTCTGTGTATATGTGTGTGTGTATACAAGTATAGCTGTGTTATTTTAAAAGGAAGCAAAATAGTTTTAGCAAAAGATTCCTTGTTTCACTTGAGCAAGAGTTTAGACAAAAACAACTGAATTTTGGAAATATATTTCAGTTCATAATCATCTCATTCTTAAGAATTATGGGATCAGTGAGGTAGTGCCCTCAGAAATCATTTAAAGTGCTTTACATTGACAATTATTGATGGAACAATTGGCTTCCAGCCTATATCCTGACTGTGGCCTGGCCTCTTTCGTTTCATCTTTAGGTAGTAGAAAGCAATTCAATATTTTGCTTGAAGATGCATAAAGAGATGATTTTTAACTTACAAAATGTTTTAGAACAGTGGAAGAAGAAGTTAAGTTCTGGCTCTCAAATTGTATTAGGTAAGTGTTTTAATTTCTATTTCTATTTTGTGAAGGCTGAGCTAGGAATCCTATCTTTCATTCATTTATGTATCTCGTCTCCAGATTTCTCATTATTCCCCAGGTTTACTAAGAGTTTATTAGCAGTGTTAACTGGGTTTCACCGTGTTAGCCAGGATGTTAATTTCAAAATGAAAAATTAACCTCCACTAAGATTTTGATGTTGAGGTAAATTTCTCACGTCAGTGGGCAGCCACCATTATATAATATATAGGATCATATATATTATGATAGTGAGCCTCAAGCTATATATATATATATAGTCATGCATGATTGCTAAATTTAATATTAAAAATATAAAAGTCAACATGTATAGAATAAGTGAAAAATATATGGGCCACTTGGATTTGTGATAAGAGACATTTTTCAGGCTAAAAAGGAGACCACTTTTCTCTGGAATTTAAGCACTGGGCTGTGGCATTTTGGGGAAAAAATGGGGAAGAAGTTTCTTTGCATCCAAAAAAGTAAAATGTGATACGGAAATCTACCGCAGTGTGGCTGTGGGAACTGCTGGTTAAAGTATGTGTGGTAACTCCAGCGCATGTGACATTGTCAGACTCCCTCTCTGCAGCCCTCATGGACGACTGCGTCCCACTCTTGGCCATCACCGATGCCACGTGTGTAATTCACTTCAGCTTCCCTGCCTCGCCGAAAGTGTTTGGTGGACGCCTGTATTGCATGTCTGATCATTTTCACGCAGAACAGGTTTGGTGAATTTTTATTCTCTTCCATATTCTACTGGCATCTTCTGTGTCATGATAAGCTCAGAGTCCACAAGGTTTCCTCAGTCAGACTGGGATATAGATGATCCACCCCCAATTTTCAGGGTTTATTCACCCCCAATTTTCAGGGTTCTCCTGCAGAACAGGGAGATAAGAAAGCCAAATCTGTCTTGCTGCTGACGGAGAAAGATGCGAGCCACGCAGTGGGCATCCTGCGCTACTTGGAGCGAGCAGACGCCAAGGTCCCCGCAGAGCTGTACGAGTTCACCGCGGGAGTTCTGGAAGCCAAAGAGGATAAGAAAGCCGGAAGACTTCTTTGTCCGTATCTGAAGGCTTTTGGTTTTTGCAAGTAAGCCAGTGATTTGTTTCTAATTAAACTGATGTATAACCTGCAGTAAAGTGCACAACTGGTGCAATGTGGTGAATTGTCATGTATCTGTAGAAGCCACCACCCACTCTGAGGGAGCAGCCCGGGGGTTCCCTCGCACTCTTCCCCACGTGCCCTCCCCTCTGCAGGATTGTCAGTGTTGATTAATTTTGCTTGGTTTTGAACTCCATAGAAATGGCATCGTGGTATGTTCTCTTTTGTGTCTGGCTTCTTTCTCTCAGCCTCGTGTCTGTGACTTTCGTCTGTGTTGTTGTGTGTATCTGTGGTTTGTTTTGTAGCTCAGTGTTCTGTTGTATGACTGTATCACAGTGTGTGTATCCATTCTCCTGTTGATGGGCCTGTGGGTGGTTTCCACTATCAGGCTAAGATGTTTGAAGCTGTTAGGAGCACTCTTGGCCATGTCTTTTGTGGAAATGTGCACCTATTTCTCTTGGGTGCTCTGGAGTACAAGTGGCAGGTCATGGGGTAGGCATGCGTTTAACTCTTCCAAAGCATCTGGCCATTTTCTGGTCTGGTCAGTACTGTCTGAGAGAGCCTGAGTTGTCCCCTACCCTCACCAGCACTTAATGTTGGTAGGGGTGGAGTGGTAAACCATTGTGATGTTAATTTGCATTTCCCTAATGATTAATGAAGTTGAATATCTTTTCATAGGCTTGTGGGACAGTTGGCCATCCTCTTTTTGTGAAGTGCCTGTTGAGGTCTTTTGACCGGTTTTTACAGGGAGTGTTTATCTTTTTTCTCTTGGTTTGTGGGGAGAGTAGCTTATATATACCCAACGTAAGTACTTTGTGTGATATATGCACTGAGAATGTCTCCTCCAAGCTGTGGCTTGCATTTTCACTCTTTTAATACTCTGCTGATGATGAACAGGCATTTTAAATTTTGTTGAAGTTTTTTGGTTTTTGTTTTTTGTTTTTTGAGATGGCATTTCACTCTGTCGCCCAGGCTGGAGTGCAGTGGCGCCATCTTGGCTTACTGCAAGCTCCGCCTCCCAGGTTCACGCCATCCTCCTGCTTCAACCTCCCAAGTTGGCTAATTTTTTTGTATTTTTAATAGAAACGGGGTTTCACCATGTTAGCCAGGATGGTTTTGATCTCCTGACCTCGTGATCTGCCTGCCTTGACCTCCCAAAGTGCTGGGATTATAGGCGTGAGCCACCATGCCCAGCCTGATGAAGTATTTTCAGGTTACTTTTTTGTGTGCTTATAGGAAATATTTACCTATCTCGGCCAGGTGCAGTGGCTCATGCCTGTAATCCCAGCACTTTGGGAGGCTGAGACAGGCAGATCATGAGGTCAAGAGATGGAGACCATCCTGGTCAACATGGTGAAACCCCTTCTCTACTAAAAAAGTACAAAAATTAGCTGGGCGTGGTGGTGTGTACCTCTAGTCCCAGCTACTCGGGAGGCTGAGGCAGGAGAATCACTTGAACGCTGGAGGCAGAGGTTGCAGTGAGCCAAGATCACGCCATTGCACTCTAGCCTGGAGACAGAGCAAAATTCTGTCTCAAAAAAAAAAAAAAAGAAAAAAAATAGCTGGGTGTGGTGGCACACACCTGTAATCAGCTACATAGGAGGCTGAGGCAGGAGAATCACTTGAACCTGGGAAGCAGAGGTTGCAGTGAGCCAAGTTCACACCACTGCACTCCAGACTGGGTGACAGAGTGAGAGATTGTGCCGCTGCATTCCAGCCTGGACCACGAGTGAGATTCCATCTCAAAAAAAAAAAAATTGTCTATTTCAAGGTCATGAAGGCACTCTCCTGTATTTCTAGAAGCTTTGTAGTTTTAGCTTTCACAGTTACACTTATAATTCATATTAAATTAGTTTGTATGTATGACCACGTATGGTGGCTCGCACCTATAGTCGCAGTGCTTTGGGAGGCTGAAGTGGGAGGATCACTTGAGCTCAGGAGTTCCAAGACCAGCCTGGGCAACACACAGAGACCTGGTCTCTTTAAAAAAAAAAAAAATTATATATATATATATGTATATGTATATGTGTGTGTATATATATACACATATACACATACATGCCAGCTGTGGTGGCACATGCCTGTAGTCCCAGCTACTCAGGAGCCTGGGGTAGGAGCATCCCTTGAGCCTGGGAAGTCAAGGATTCAGTGAGCTATGATTGTGCCACTGCACTTCAGCCTGGGCGATAGAATGAGACCCTATGTCCAAAAAAAAGAAAAAAGAAAAAAAATTATATGTGTAATGTGAAATCTGGGGCAAAGTTTGATTTTTCCATATAAATAATGGTTTGCTCCAGCATCGTTTTTTTAAAATATCATTTGGTTCTCACTGCATTAATGCATTTGCCATAAGCCAGGTGATGGTATATGTGGTCCATTTTTGGACTCTCTTCTGTTACATTGGCCTATTGGTCTAACTTTATACCAGTACTACACTTTCTCATAGCAAGTCTTAGGAGCTGGTGTACGAGTCCTCCAGGTTTGGTCCTCACCAAGGTTGTTTGACTATTTTAAATCCATTGCACCTCCACATACATTTTATTTTTTGTATCTTTTTTTTTCTTTTTGAGATGGAGTATCGCTCTGTCACCCAGGCTGGAGTGCAGTGGCGCAATCTCGGCTCACTGCAGCCTCCGCCTTCTGGGTTCAAACAGTTCTCCTGCCTCAGCTTCCTGAGTAGCTGGGACTACAGGCATGTGCCACCATGCCCAGTTAATTTTTGTATTTTCAGTAGAGACAGGATTTCACCATGTTGGCCAGGCTAATCTCAAACTCCTGACCTCAGCTGATCCACCTGCCTCAGCCTCCCAAAGTGCTGGGATTACAGGTTTGAGCCACCCCACTTGGCCTCCGTGTATATTTTAGAATGAGCCTATTAGTTTCTTCAGAAACCTTGTGGAATTTTGCTAGGGACTGCATTGATTGTGTTGATCAGCTTGGAGAGCATGGGTACCTTGACAGTCATGGGGCTTCTCTGCCTGATCCAGACACACCACCACTGCTTGATACACAGACAGCTGAGGCTGGGACATGGGTGTCTGATACGTAGCTGCTGGATTAAATTTAAAGATACCTGTTGACATTAACGTTTTTGAATTATGGTACATTAAATGTGTTACTAGCAGCACTTCTATTTATGCTTAAAGAAGGCCGACTTTTTTTTTTTTTTTTTTTCTCTAAGACAGTCTCTGGCTCTGTCAATCAGGCTGGAGTGCAATGACATGATCTCAGCTCGCTGAAACCGCCTTCCGGGTTCAAGCAGTTCTTGTGCCTCAGCCTCCTGAGTAGCTGGGATCACAGGTGTGGACCACCACACCTGGCTAATTTTTGTATTTTTAGTAGAGATGGGGTTCGCCATGTTGGCCAAGCTGGTCTCAAACCCCTCACCTCAAGTGATCCGCCCACCTCAGCCTCCCAAAGTGTTGGGATTACAGGCATGAGCCACCATCCCCAGCCAAATATTGACTTTATTTATTTATTTATTTATTTAGAGATGGAGTCTTGCTCTGTCACCCAGGCTGGGGTGTAGTGGCACCATCTTGGCTCACTGCAACCTCTGCCTCCTGGGTTCAAGCGATTCTCCTGCATCAGCCTCCTGAGTAGCTGGGACTGTAAGTAGGCGCCCACCATGACGCCCAGCTAATTTTTGTGTTTTTAGTAGAGTCAGGGTTTCACCATGTTGACCACGCTGGTCTTGAGCTCCTGACCTCAGGTGATTTGCCTGTCTTGGCCTCCCAAAGTGCTGGGATTACAGGCACGAACCACCATGCTCGGCCTCAAATACTGACTTTTAAAACGACAGTTTCAACTATTTCTCAATGTGGAAGCAGCATTGTAGTTAAGGAATGGCTTCTGGGTTAGAGGTCAATTGGCCTTTGTTGTGTATTATGGCAATGTATTTGTAATTCAGTCTTTATTTTGAAAATATATTTTGTCCATTTATATAATGCATTTTAGAATGTCTAGAGAAATAGGGTGGCTGAGCGGGAAGGATCTTTTTTTTTTTTTTTTGAGACGGAGTCTCGCTCTGTCGCCCAGGCTAGAGTGCAGTGGCCAGATCTCAGCTCACTGCAAGCTCCGCCTCCTGGGTTCACGCCATTCTCCTGCCTCAGCTTCCCGAGTAGCTGGGACTACAGGCGCCCGCCACCTCACCTGGCTAGTTTTTTGTATTTTTTAGTAGAGACGGAGTTTCACTGTGTTAGCCAGGATGGTCTCGATCTCCTGACCTCATGATCCACCCGTCTCGGCCTCCCAAAGTGCTGGGAGGGGAGGATCTCTTGAGCCCAGGAGTTAAGAGGCTGTGATGAGACATGATCTTGCCACTGCACTCCAGCCTGGGCAACAGAGTGAGACCAAACTCTTAAAAAAAAAAAAAAAAAAGTTTGCTAGAGAAATAATGAAGTAACTTATTGAGTTTATTTAGTGTTAATTAAAATGTAAAATCCATTTGTACTTATGTGTATATTATTAATGTCATCTGAAATATTTAATGTGGTTATTCAATTTTTAGGGTGTTTGGAATAAAAGTTCTCTGATTTAGGTTGCAGATTAATTTTCTGAAGAAAGCATTAAAATTCACATTAACAATTGTTACTTATTTATGGTAAATCTAGTCATTTCATTTTCAGAGACAAGAGGATCTGTCCTGACCGACACCGTATTAATCCAGAAACGGACATGCCCAGGAAACTATCCAGCCAAGCCCTACCTTCATTTGGATACATTAAAGTAGGTTCGGTTAAAGATCCTTGTGTCCTCTGACGAATGGTCGTGTTAATAAACGTGTTTTATTTGTTAAGCAGGATCTTAGTAGATGTAATGATGTCTTCCAGTGATCAGTATTAACATACCACCATTAATCCAACCAGAGGCATGCGTCCTTATGAGGCGCCTTATTTCAGGGTCCCAGCTTATTTATAAGCCAAGATCAAATTCAGTAATGGATGACAGTTTAAGGATTTTTTTTTCAATTATATTTTCAGAAAATGTTTCTATTTGGGGGCCATTAAAAATAATGCAGTGACTGGACACAGTGGCTCCCACCTGTAATCTCATCATTTTGGGAGACTGAGGCGGGCAGATCACTTGAGGCCAGGAGTTCAAGACCAGCCTGGGCAACATAGCAAGACCTTGTCTCTACAAACAAATTTTAAAAATAATAATAATACAGTGATTACATGCATCTTTTCAAGACATTCGTGATAATTTCTTTGAGGAAAATTCTGTAATAAGATGCAGATAGAATTGCAAAGTTAAGGATTTTTTTATTTTCTTTCAAATCCCTTTTTATTAATTTCTTCATTTCTTTTTGAGCATGCAATTTCTCTCCCTTTCACCTGTTTCCCTTAGGGCAGTATCTTTTGTGTTAATTTCCTAGGCTGCTGTAAAAGATTACCACCGAGTTAGTGACTTAAAGCCACACACATTTCTTCTATCATGTTCCTGGATGCCAGAGTCCAACGTCAGGGTGTCAGCAGGGCTGTGCCCCTCTGCAGCCTCCAGAAGGTGACCTGGCCTGTGGCTCACCCGGCGTCCTTGTGTCTCAGCCGGCAGCCACTGTAGCTCTCTCTCTACCTGCATCTTCACATGACCTCCTCTTCTCTGTGCCCCTTATAAAGGACGTTTCATTGGAAGGAGAGCCCGCCTGGATAACCCAGAGCCATTTCCTGGTCTGCAGATTTCACTACCTCTGCAAAGACCCTGGTTTCAAGTCAGGTCAAAGTCACAGTGACCTTGGGGGTTAGGACATGGACATACCTCTTTTGGGAGAGTCACCATCCAACCCACTACAGTTTTCATTATTGAATTTTTAAAAAAAATTTCTAACTCTTTCCTGCGTTCTGTCACCTCATTTCTAAGTTGTTGTAATTCTGATCTGTTACTCTTTTATACATGTATTGTTTTCTTAGTTAACAAACTAAATGCAGTGTTTCTTGAAGGTTATAATTTTAATCTGTTTGTGGATGTATCTTTCTTTTTTTTTTTTTTTGAGATGGAGTCTTGCTCTGTCGCCCAGGCTGGAGTGCAGTGGCCGGATCTCAGCTCACTGCAAGCTCCACCTCCTGGGTTTATGCCATTCTCCTGCCTCAGCCTCCCGAGTAGCTGGGACTACAGGCGCCCGCCATCTCGCCCGGCTAGTTTTTTGTATTTTTTTTTTTTTAGTAGAGACGGGGTTTCACCGTGTTAGCCAGGATGGTCTTGATCTCCTGACCTCGTGATCTGCCCATCTCGGCCTCCCAAAGTGCTGGGATTGCAGGCTTGAGCCACCGCGCCCGGCCGGATGTATCTTTCTAACAGGTTTCATTGTCTGTAGGGATGGTTCTTCTGCTCTTTATTCTCTTTTTAATTATTTTATTTTTATATATTATTATACATTTTGTTATTTTATGATGACTTCATATCGGATTTAACCTTGTTAGTTTGCTGCTGCTCGTTTTTGGATAGAATTTGTTTTCCTGACATTTTGGAGGAGGTGTGGGTCAGGGTAACTTTTCTGATTTCACGGAGTTCCCATTTCTGTTGTTTTATGTACTGTATAAAATGAATATGGTGATGTAGTGTCTAAGATTTCTGAGATTCCCTGGCCCTGTTCCCCTCCTGAACTCTTACCTGGTTTTCTCTTCCTTCATCCCTCTTGTCCCTGGACGGACAGTGTGGAGATTTTGCAGGGGCTCCAGCCTTCACCCACTGTGGAGGCAGGTGAAGCCTTCCAGGCTCGCTTATCACACTGGCTGAGCCTGTTTCCAGGGAGGGCCTCTTGCCTCTTCTAGAGCTCTCTATTCTCAGGTCTGTTGCTTACCTCTGCTTCCTCCCACACAGGCACAGACACTGGTGCCTGTGGGTGTCGCCAGCCCGGCCCTCTCCCCCATCCTGCCAAGTGCCTACTTCTCACTCCTGGCATCTGTTCTGGGCAGCCAGGGCTCCCTGTCTTCATGCAGAGTGTCTCTGCCCTCTGCACACTAACTTCTTCCTCACACGCTGGTCCCCGTGCCTACTCTAACCTGTGAAGGGCCGTCTTCTCCAGCACACGCAAGCTGTGGCCTCTCTGTCCACTTCTGGATTGCCGAGGGTCCCTGTAGGACACAGTTTCATCCCTGCAACCCTGGAAGCTGGTAAACAGTATGCTCGTAATAAGATGTGTCTTGTTACCTGAAAAAAGATTGGAAGGTCTCAAGAGACAGCAATGCTATTTTAAGAAGAACTTCTATAAAAGTGCAGTTAGAAGGTAAACAAAGGAACACTTATACCTAATAATGAAGATTTAAAATAATGAAATTTGCAAAATAAAAAAATCTTCCATTAGATTTAAAGTGAAACTCTTAATTCTTTGTGACTATGTGAGGTATTGGTTTTGCCTTGCCTTTTTGGCTAGCTTCCTAGTTTATTTCTAAATCCACGTTGCTTAGCTTTGATTTCTTAGGTTGGGTACTGATTTCTGCAGATACAGGGAGTGTGTACATCTCCAGTTTAGACTAAGTTTGTTTCCTGGTCATGTTTACTATATATGTTTCAGATAATACCTTTTTATATTTTGAATGCAACAAATTACTTTGGCCGTATAATTGATAAACACATGGATCTTTATGCAACTCTCAATGCTGAAATGAATGAGTATTTTAAGGATTCTAATAAAACAACTGTGGAAAAGGTGGAGAAGTTTGGATTGTATGGATTAGCAGAACAAACACTTTTTCACAGGTAACATATCTGTTTATTTCACCTGTAAAGTTTTGAAGCATGAGGTAACTAAGTGGTATTGAGTTCCTATTTTCACCTCTGTCCATTTGAGTGTGTATGTGAGCCTGGTGACAGCGGGGTTTTACCCCCAGATCTGCTCCAGTTCTTCGTGGGAAACTCTTTCCCAGGCTCCTGAGCATGATGACACCGTGACCCGTTGAGCCATCACTGTATGCAACATACACATACATCTTTAACTCACTTAATTCTTGCCAAGTTCCTGTCAAGTGGGCATCATTCCCATTCTACAGATAAGAAAACAGCCTTGGCAATGTTACGAACATGGTGTCAGGTCAGCTCGATACCTGGCATAGTTTGTTCTAACCTGGTCAGTCTGAATCACATGCTTGTTTGCACCCACTTCCCTTAAATCCACACCTGGCGCCATCTGGTGATAGCCTTGAATTCAGAAACTTTGAAACTTGACAGGTGACGTCGCTCATGCCTGTAATCCCAGCACTGTGGGAGGCTGAGGTGAATGGATTGCTTAAGCCCAGGAGGTCGAGGCTGCACTGAGCTATGATCATGCCACTGCACTCCAGTCTGGGCCACAGAGCAAGACCTTGTCTCTACAAAAAACAAACAAACAAAAAAGACAAAAAGAAAAAAACTTTGTGACTTTAATTTGCTATGTTAATTTTTATTATGTTGTTAGATAAAAGGATTTACTCTTATTCAAAAGTACATGTTTTTATACCTATGTATACTTTAACAAATCCACCACTTGAATTACTGAAGGCCTTAGTTTTTATTTCTAGTATAGAGTAAAATCATGGCGTTTTGGAGTCTTTTTATATGTTTTCCATTTCATGGTGATTTGAGGCAAAGACAGTCCTTTCTGGAATCTCTGTGTTGAACCAATGCTCTGTTGCTCTCCAGGGTTCAGGTGTTGGAAGTGAGCCAAAAAGAAGACGCCTGGGCCCTGGATGACATCCTTGTAGAGTTCATCGACGAAGGCAGGACAGGACTTGTCACAAGGGACCAGCTGCTACATCTCCCAGAACGTTTCCACACGCTTCCCCCGCAGGCTGTGGAGTTTATTGTCTGTAGGGTGAAACCTGCAGACAATGAAATGGAATGGAATCCGAAGGTGGGTTATTTTGGCTTTTTATCTAGTGTTGACTTTTAGAATGTATTTAACCCAGAATATACACAGAATTGAGGCCTGTCTGGATTTAGAGTGTCACATTTGGGCAGGGAAAGCGCGGTCTACTCAGATCCCCACAGTGTGTGAACATCCCAGCTGAGCCCTCAGAGAGGTGTTGGGCAGCCGCAACACTGCCACCGCCACTAACCTTGTGCTTACGCTCACAGAATCGGTATAAAGTAGGGATGTCGATAAAATAAATTGCCCATCAGCCTAAGCAGGGGAAGCACCTACAAAAGTGAACATTCCAGGCTGGGTGCTGTGGCCTATAATCTCAACAGTTTGGGAAACTAAGGGATGAGGACCCCTTGAGCCCAGGAAGTTGAGGCTGCAATGATCTATGATCGTGTCACTACATTCCAGCCTGGGTGACAGAGCGAGACCCTGTCTCTTAAAGAAAACAAATCAAAAAACAGAAAAAAAGTGAAAAAGTGGACCCTCCAGCCAAAGAGGGGGCACGGTGGGTGGTCTCAGGAGAGGCCAGGTGATTCCACTGGGGCAGGGATGATGGGCCAGGAAGGAGAGATGGAGGCCAGAAAAGCTGCCAAAGGAAGGGTTGTTTCCTCTGGGCTTCGTGGGATAACTAGGATGTCACCAAGTAGAACAGATGGGCGTTGAAAGCAAAGAGAACCACTCGTGCTGAGGCACAGGCACAGAAGGGGGCCCCATCTGGGCTCACGTGGCCGTCCAAGTGGAGTGGGAAGGCCCAGCCCTTGTGGCCAGGGAGAGACCTGCAGCCAGTCCTGCCCATCACTGGAGCATGAGTTGTGTTGCTAAGTGCTCCGATTCTCCAAGGAAAGGTTACATTTTGCATAATTCGACAAATGGGACATGAAATAAGTCATTGCAATTGGCAAAGTAAAAACAGTTTGGGTTATAAACAAAGTTAAACATTATCCAGGAAATAAACAAGTGAATGCTTCCATGATGCAGGATAAACACACAACCTTACTCTTCTAAGTTTAGTAAAAGGAGCCTTTATCACAAGGCAGTGGTGTTCCTTCTTTGTAATGACCGTCTCCTGTGTACCAGGTGCCCTCCTGGGTTCTGGGGATGTAGTCATCAGCAAGAAGGTCACAGTCCTTTCCCCAAGAAACACCTGACCTGTGAAGATGACTGACCGAAAGTCTCCCTCGAAGGAGCAGCCTTCTGTGGAAATGGAGAAAGCTTCTCCTGTGTCCGTTCTTCCGAATTAATTCACCAAATGCAAGGGGGACGGAAATGGGCAGGTCCCTTTCGCCCTGCTTTGTTCATGTGAAAATGTGCTGAGAGGTTGCTAGACAGGTCCTGCCTGTTTGTTCCTCCTTGAGAGGAAACGGCCATGGCCAGGTGTGGTGACTCACACCTGTAATCCTTGGGAGCCCAAGATGGGAGGATTGCTTGAGCCTAGGAGTTCAAGACCAGCCTGGGCAACGTTGTGAGACCCATCTCTAAAAAAAAAAAAAAATTAAAAATTAACCAAGTGTGTGGTGTGTGTCTGTGGCTCAGCTACTGGGGAGGCTGAAGAAAGAGGATTGGCGGGCCCCTTGAGGCTGCAGCAAGCTACTATGATTGTCCACTGCATTCCAGCCCGGGTGGTGGAGAGAGATCCTGTGTCAAAGAAAAAAAGAAAGAAAACAACAGCCATTTACTCAGGGAGGGGTACACAAAAGACCAGGCCCTCAGCTCCAGTGTCACTGGCTGCAAGGCCGCTCCATTGCAGTGACAGCCTCAGAGCAGGAGGAACAACTTTCACTTCACTTTCATTGAGCTTTCAAAGAAATAGGCATCCGTGCTTTAAAGACAGATTGGCAGGTGATGGAGGAGATGGGGTACGCATGACCACAGAGGGAAATGTACGGTGTTGGGTCCCAAAGGCACAGACCCTACCTTGAGCTCTGGGAACTCACTAGTAAGAGACCATGGGCGAGTTCCTTTCCACACCTGCCTCACTAAACTCTGCTATTAGCCTGGTGGACGAAAGGGGGTGATGACCTCTGTGACCTCATAGCGTTACTGTGAGGCTCAAATGAAATACATGGAATATTTTGCAAACTGTATGGTATATACAAAATAAGGTATTTTGTTGAAGCCTCCCCTAAAATAATGTTAAGTGCTTTTTTCAGGTTACTAGGTACATCCATCATAAAATTGTTGGAAAATTGCATGTTGCAAAAGTGATCCTGGCTTTGGGAAATACAGTTTGGATTGATCCATTGGTAAGTATGCATTTTTCTTAAAAATAAATCTGTTTGAATGGGCCACTAAAATCCAGATTATTCTAAGCTGTCACTTGAATGACTGCTGCACAGAAACAGTGACTTATTTGGGGCTCTGTTAGGGAGAGGTGTTTTTCATGTTATTTGGGTCATGAATTGGGTTGTGGGTTTAGTTTTTGTTCAGGGGAACATTTTACATTGTAACCCCAGCACACATGTGCATTGCGTATGTGAGGCACACGGACACACACACATGCAGCTGAACAAAGCTTCGTGAGGACTCCATGTGACATTCTCTGATGCTGACAGTTTCTAACTTGCCCATTCCCCACGCACTTACTGAGCACCTGCCACGTGCCAGGAGCAGTGCTGGGCACTGGGTTCCCTCTGGGAGCAAAGCACACGAAGCCCCCATCCTGCAGAGCAGCCCTCGGGGGAGGCGGGGGGAAGGGGGAGGGGAGGACACACGACAAGGACACGTGACTCAGCCAGCCTCCGTGTCTCTCCACGGCTGCTGACACCACCCTCCCTGCTTGTTCCCCAAGAGCTCCACTCCTCCACTCACAGTTCTGCTGTGTGAGACTTAAATCTTATTATGAATACTTACAAGATTTAACAGAGTCAGTTTATAAAAACTTTTGCTGAAAGTTATTTTTATGAGGTTGGAAAAGTTTTAACATGTTAAAAGGGGAATTTGGATGTAAGGTTTAAGACTAAGCAGAAAATGGTTTTCAGAAGAGAAAATATGGATTACAAATGCAGGTAAATGAGGAGATTTGGGCATCTTAGTTGATGCTGTGATATTATTGTGTTTGTTTTTTGTTGGGGGGAGAAAAGCAGAAATTTTATTAAGTGGAGATTTAAAAGAGATTGAAGTAAAGAAAAAAAACCACTGGGTGGATGTGTCCACACTGCAGTGCGTGTGGCAGTGCTCACGGCGGCCAGAGGGAAACAGACCCGCCCTCACCGTCTCCACCTGCTCCTGCTCCCACCCAGTTTGAGCAGAGAGAGGCTCCTCCACACATTCCCCAGTGGGCACACATTCCTGGGAAGAGGCCCCAGGCAAGGCAGGCCTGGAGCACCCTCCACCCTCACCATGGAAGGGACGGCCCCTCCTATACCCACACCGCCACCAACAGGGCCAGGTTGTTAGAGATTTTTGTGTTTTACTTAATTTTGTATAAATGGAAATGGATGAGGATGTTTTGGTTGCAGAAAAGACGAACAGAAGAAATGGCCCAGAACAGGATTCAGGTTCTTGGCTTAGGCCCTTCCCAGGCACGGGCAGATGCTGAGCCTCAGGAGGTAAAAAGAGTTGAGAAAGAATGAGAAAGATGTAAGAATTATGCATCTGACTAGGGGTTTATCCCAGATTTGCAAGTTGGTCATGACTAGGGGTTTATCCCAGATTTGCTCTTGCCACCCCCCCCACCACCTGCCCATATTTCTGTGGCATGGGGCAAGGCCTGGACAATTCGGATGGAGCCTCAGGTATGAAGCAATCCAGATGCTGCCATGGGAAGCCCTGCGTATCGTGGCAAGCGCCAAAGTGCAGCCGACGTGGCAGGATGAACCAGGGAGGCCCTGTGAGAGTGTCTGTGCTTCAGTTAAAATTCAGAGTGACTCCTGCTAATGTTCAATTTTTTCATTGATTCAAGGTGCACATTACAAACCTTTCCAATTTAAAAACCTCTGTCATTGATTATAATGTTCGAGCTGAAATTTTGTCCATGGGAATGGGCATTGATAATCCAGAACATATAGAACAACTGAAAAAATTACGTGAAGACGCAAAGATACCGGCTTTTGAAGAAAGCCTAAGCCAGACCCCGTAAGTGAATTTCTGTCTCCCTTTTGGAAGAGCTGTTTTTTGGAAATACAACTCACAAGTGTTAAGGACATGTTTTATGAAAGTAGAAGAGTTGGCTGGGAGTGGTGGCTCATGCCTGTAATCCCAGCACTTTGGGAGGCTGAGGTGGGCGGATCACGAGGTCAGGAAATCAAGACCATCCTGGCCAACATGGTGAAACCCCGTCTGTACTAAAAACACAAAAATTAGCTGGGTGTGGTGGTGCATGCCTGTAATCCCAGCTACTCAGGAGGCTGAGGCAGGAGAATCGCTTGAACCCGGGAGGCAGAGGTTGCAGTGAGCCGAGATCACACCACTACAGTCCAGTCTGGTGACAGAGTGAGACTACGTCTCAAAAAAAAAAAAAAAAAAGTAGAAGAGTTTTTAATGAGTCTCCATGTACCCATCACTCAGTTGTAATAATGACCAAGATTTTGAAAATCTAGTTTTATCTCTACCGCAGCCCACACTTGCTTTTGTTGGCGTATCATAAAGCGATCTCAAATATAGTATTTCACCTGCATCTCTTACAGAAAGGATCGTTAACTTTGTATTGACAAATAGCACACATACAGAAAAGTGCGCACATCAGACGTGATGTGTTTCCTGAGTATAGCTGTGTAATCAGCCCAGATCAAGAAACAGAGCCTGGCTCAGAGCCTCCCCTCCCTCTAGCTACTCCCCCTCCCCAACAGGAGCCATTCTCCTGATGTGGAAAAGCAGGGATGGTTTTCCCCAGTTTTGTACTTTGAATGGAATTAGACAGTATGCCCCCTCACCATAGTGAGTTACAGAAGCTAGGCTCAAAGGAGGCATAAATTCTCTAAATTCTCAGTTACATAATGTTCCTTTGTATGAATATACCATTATTTGTTTACCCATTCTGCTGTTGACTGGGGAGATTTCCAGTTTGGGGTACTTCAAGTAATGGTGCTTTAAACATTACCATACATGTCTTTTACAAATATATACACTTAGAAATAAATTTCTGATGGAATGGGATTACTGAGTCGTAGTTAGAGTTACTACCCAATAGTGTTCCAAACTGGCTGCACCAGCGTCTCCTCCCATGGAAGGTATTAGGGAGACTGTGACAGTCACTCTGAGGAGGGATCCTGGCAGCTCCAGAGGGGGAAGGATCTGTATCAAGAATTCCTTCCAGTTAGGAGGAAAACAGCAGGCATCTGTTAAGAAAGTTGGCAAAAGACATGAGCAGCAACTTCAGGATGCCTAATTACCATATGAGAAGGTGCTGGAACTCCTGAAAGCCCAGGGAGTAACACCACAGCATGCCCAGCCCACCAGAGAGGGGAATGAGAGAAGGAAGGAAAACATGCACCACGTGTGGGCAGGGATGAGAGCCGCAGGGTTTCCCAAAACTTAACGAGAGCACTGTTAGCACAGCTAAAAAGACTCACAGCGATTCCTTCAATTGCATGTGTTTTATTGTGGCAAAATACACATGACAACAGCTGCCATTTAAATTCTTTTTAAGTGTACAGTTCAGTGGCATTTAGAACATTCTCAGTGCTGTGCAACCATCATCACTCTCCATCTCCAGAACTTGCTCATCTTCTGGACAGAAACTCCATACTCCTTAAATAATAATTCCAGAGTCTGCCCCCGCAGGCCCCCTACTCTCCTTTGTCTCTAAGAATCTGCCAATCCTGGGCACTTTCAGTGGAACCGTCCACTGTTTGCCCTTTTGTGTCTGGCTCGTCTCAGTGGAATGTCCTCAAGGTCCAGCCGTGTTGCAGCCCGGGTCAGATTTCCTTCCCTTTGAAACTCGTCCTCCATGGCATGGATCACCACGTTTCGCTTCTCCATTCATCTGCCTGTGCACACCTGGGCTGCTGCCCCTCTTGACTGTGGTGGATGTGCTCCTGTGTACACAGGTGTACAAATACCTGTTTGAGCCCCTGCCTTCACTTCTCTGGGGTTGCTACTCAGAAGTGGAGCTGCTGGGCCCTGTGGGTATCCTGTGCATGATTTTTGGGGACCCTCCATCCAGTTTCTGCAGCTTCTGCCCCATTGCCTGTTCCACCAGCCATTGCCCGTTCCACCAGCCACATCCGAGGCCTGCAGTTCTCCATGTCCTCTCCTTGACCCTGCCCGAGGTGCAAACTCCAGGTCTCTTCGGGGCTCTTCCGGGCATGCCTCTGTGTGCTTGTGCTATTCTAAATGGCCCACACACACGAATGCTTTTGAACATCCTAATTCCCCAGTCTCTCGCTCTCCACGTCTCCTCCGGCCCGGCCTACCCAGGCATCTGGGGTCTGTAGGGCCTGGTAGCTTTAGAAGCAGGCCTCCATCTCAATAAATAAATAAATAAATAAGTAAAAAGTGCTTTTACCCCTGCACTCCAAGCTCTGTCCTCCACTGTCCCCAGACAGGCTCCACAGACGCACATGATTATTTGCAAATGAAGTCTGCTCTGCTTCCTCCAGGCCGACAGTGACAGGGACCAGGCCTGCTCAAGACCAGGATCGTCCATCCAAGGAGCAGGAGGGGCAGGGGTGAGTAAGAACACCACAGAGCTTCCTCCCAGAACGCCAGACAGGGGGCCATGTGTGAGGGGGAGCCAGTGAGGGACGGTCCACACGGACGCCTAGGAGGATCCCCACGAGCTGAGGGAAGGACTTGGTGGTGAGTTCCAGGAGCAGGGATGAAGGTGCCCGGAGCAGAGCAGCATACAGGGACCCAGAGGTGCCGGGCTAGGTCTTGCGGGGCCTGTGGCCACTGCAGGGAATGGGCTCTTTCTCCACAGAGGCTGGAGCCATGAGCGGATTTTGAGCAGAGGGGTGACTTGAACAGAAGATGGTTCATGGCTGCTGTGTTGAGAACAGACTCAAGGGAGGGTAGGGGACAAAGACTGTGCCAGGAGCTTCGGACAGGAGGATGGAGGCTTGGACCAGGCGGCTTTGTGGAGGCTGAGAAGCCACTGGTTTCTCAGTGTGTTCTGCTGGAGCTGACGGGGCTCCAGCCAGTCTGCATCTGTGGCAAGAGCACAGCCCTCGTGGCAGGGCCTGGGAGCCCCAGAGGTGTGAGAGGAGGTGTCCGGGGGTGAGCCCTGGTGTCTCCGCTGGGAGCGTGGAGAAGGGTGGGGACGTTGTAGCCAGCAGGTGGAGGGAAGCCTGGAGAGGCAGGTGGGTGAGGGATGCATGTCCTGAACAGGAGTGATGAACTAGCCCAGGTGCAGCTGCAGACCCAGTGAGTGAGGACCAAGATGTACAGCTGGGCTAGTGGCCTGCCTGCTGGGCTAGTGGCCTGCCAGGCTAGAGACCTGTTGAGTTAGTGACTTCCTGGTTTAGTGGCCTGCCAGGCTAGTGGCCTACTGGGCTGGTGACTTGCTGGGCTAGTGGCCTGCTGGGCTGGTGACTTGCTGGGCTAGTGGCCTGCTGGGCTAATGACTTGCTGGGTTAGTGGCCTGCTGGGCTAGTGGCCTGCTGGGCTAGTGACTTGCTAGGCTAGTGGCCTGCTGGGCTCTTGGTGATTGGTGACCTTGAAAGATTCCTGAGTTGCAGCTGAAAGTAGGAGGATTTAAAATAATGTGGACCAGGCGTGGTGGCTCATGCCTGTAATCCCAGCACTTTGGGAGGCCGAGGCAGGAGAATTGCTTGAGCTCAGGAGTTCGAGACCAGCCTGGGCAACATAGCAAGACCCAGTCTCTACTAAAAATACAAAAACTAGCTGGATATGATGGTACACGCCTGTAGTTCTAGCTACTTGGAGACTGAGGTGGGAAGATTGGTTGAGTCCGGGAGGTTTAGGCTGCAGCGAGCCATGATTGTGCCACTGCACTCTAGCCTGGGTGACAGCAAGACCTTATCTCAAAAAAAAAAAAAAAAATGACAAAGATGAACATAGTATGGTCTAAAGTTTTTTAGTTTTTTACCTTAATAAAAATGGATACATATAGGATTAGGATACAGGGTAGTTTCCATCCACTTTCAAGAAAAAAGAAAAATTTTCTCATACTTCTGAGATACTGTTTTAGAAATGAAGATGTCATTAAAGTTTAGTAGATTTAACCAAAATGAGGTTTGGTGGCATATGGGAAGCGCCGACTTTGAGCCCCAGCTCTGTGTAAAGGCTCCCACAGCCCCTTTCGCACTGTAGCTTTGTAGTTAAGAGAGCTTAACATACCCGTCGTCATGAACACAGAGCATGCAGCAGTATGAGCACTGTGAGGTTTCATAGGGAGCCTGCTAGGAGAGACCCCATCTCAGACAGCTCCTGGAGAATGGGAGATCCTGACAGGTAGAGAGGAATGGCGAGAATATTTCATACTGTGACCAGCAGACCTGAAAGCCACAGGACTTAGCGGTTGGCAGATGTTAGGGAGTGTGGGTCTGTGTGTCTGAGCCCTGGTGCCTGGGGGATGCTGGTGTGGTGGACAGTGACACGTGGTTCCCAGGCACAGCCCATGGCAGAGGAGGAGAGGCTGAGGTGGGCTATGGAGGTGCCAGTTTTTAAGGTTATTGAAAGTCTAAACCTAGGGCTCAGGAAAGCAGCTGGGAAAGGCTCTTGGTTTGCTGCTGTTTGAGGAGAGTCAAAGCTCAGTGAGTATGAGGAGGAAGGCACCAACCTAGCAGGGGAGGATCTAGAGAAGGAGAAGAGGGTGAGTGACTGCACAGAGCCTGGGGAGGGGCAGTGGCTGGGGACGCTCGCTGCCTGAATCTGGAAAGTGCTGCACCAGAGGCTTCTTCTGGGCCCGTCAGAAGACAGGCACACCCCTCCTTCTCACAGGTGTGTGTGTGTGGCTGTCAGAAGACAGCACACTCCTCCTCATGTGTGTGCATGTATGTGTGCGTGTGCGTGTGTGTGTGTGTGTGTGCGTGTGTGTGTAGGTTTGCTCATTTAGGCCTGAATTGTCTCTTCAAGGATGTATAAAATCCGAGTCACACTGTCACCCACGAGGAAGGGAGCTGGCTGGCTGGGGAGCAGGGATGAGAGGAGCTTTTCAGTGTACAGCCAAGTTTGACTTCTTTTAAAATACTGAACCACATGAATGTGGTTACCTGTTCAAAGAACCAAAAGAATAACACAATTTAAAAATTTTAAAATAAGTAATCTAGCTAGTAACTAAGTAGGATAAAATATGGGGCAGCACGTTGAATTTAGTAGGTTCTCGTATGTTTAAATGCATGTGTCTGTCCATGTGTTTTAGATAAAGAGGTATAGAAGGCAATAATTTCTTTTTTATGTGAGGAATATTTCTAGAAGTAGGCCCAAACTGGTAACAGGGGTGGTCTCTGGGAAGATGGCCCTAGAGCCTGGGTCAGGGGAGGCAGGAAACTGGCTTGTCACTTTCTGTCCTTTGGTCCTCTTTGAAGTGTGCAGCAGTGAGTATGGAAGGGAAACCACCTTGGTAAAGCGTGAAGGCCTCCCTGGTCCTGTGTGCTTGCCCATCATCCTCATTGGAAGGAACCGAGTTGATGGGCTGCCTGGGGCATCTTAAATGAGTCTTAAGCTCTGTGTGGGTCTGACCCCAGGGCCACAGGCACTTCACAGTCATTTATTGCCTGCCTTCCTCTCCCACTTGGGCAGTTCCTTTAGAGAGCCAGGTGTTAGCCCCGCCTCTCCCGTCTAGGATGCCTCCTCCAGCAGAAGATGCCACTCGCCTGCAGAGCCCCCAGCCTGAGGACACGGGTGCAGAAGGAGGGGCTGAGTCCAAGATGAGCTCAGAAAACCAGAAGCCTGGTGGGTACTTGCTCTTCAAAAGATGGTTAAGTTCAAATCGTTAATGTCTGGAAAATTGCTAATATGTAGACTTTCCACTTTGAGATGAAATGTAGAGAAGATGACATAAACTGATATCACCTAACTGTTCTTATTTTTGGCAGGTCAGCCCCCAATGTTTTGTTTTTGTAGTTTGAGGTCTACCATCCATCCAGTGATGTGCACAGATGTTAAGTGAACAGTTCAGCAGTGTGTGTGTGTGTGTGTGTGTGTGTGTGTGTCAGCACCCAGACCGAGCTGTTGAACATTTCCAGGACCCCAGCAGTCTCCTGGCCGGAACCCTCCCCACTGACCATTCTGATTTCTGATGCTGTTAGTTTTGCTGACTTGGAAGCATATAGAATACATTCTTTTATTTTAAATAGAGATGGAGTCTCACTGTGTTCCCCAGGCTGATTTTGAACTCCTGGCCTCAAGTGATCCTTCTTCCTCGGCCTCTAAAAGTGTTAGGATTATAGGCGTGAGCCACTTTGCCCAGCCTATAGTATATGTTCTTGTGACTTCCTTCAATCAACATTGTCTGTGAAATTAATCTGTATTATTGCAAGTGGTGGCATTTTTTCTTAATCTTGGAAAGTATTTGCATATTGCATGGCTCTCTCCAGATTTTACATCTAGGCTCACTTTTATTGCACCGCACCTCAGCAAAGAGGAGGAGCTGGCATTTGAACAGAGTTGGCTGACCTTGGCCAGGCTAATTGCACAGACTTAGCAGACATTTCTGATGTGTATGAACTTGGCACTGAGTTAGGTGCCATAAAGAAAAAAGATAATCAGCTGGGCGTGGTGGTGGGCACCTGTAATTCCAGCTACTCAAGAGGCTAAGGTAGGAGGATCAGTTGAACCCGGGTGGCAGAGGTTGCAGTGAGCCAAGATCGCACCAGTGCACTCCAGCCTGGACGACAGAGCGAGACTATCAAAAAACAAAACAAACAAAAAAAACTGGTTGGGCGCCGTGGCTCAGGCCAGTAATCCCAGCACTTCGTGGGGCCCGAGGCGGGTGAATCACTTGAGCTCAGGAGTTTGAGACCAGCCTGGTCAACATGTTGGAACCCCGTCTCTACTAAAAACACAAAAAAATTAGTCAGCTGTGGTGGCACATGCCTGTAGTCCCAGCTACTCGGGAGGCTGAGGCAATAGAACCTCTTGAACCTGGGAGGCGGAGGTTGCAGTGAGCCAAGATCACACCACTGCACTCTTGCCTGGGCAACAGAATGAGACTCCATCTCAAAAAAAAAAGAAAAAAAAAAAAAAAAAGAAAATGCGGCAAAGGACAGTAGCTCAAGCCTGTATATACAACAGCACTTTGGGATAGGCGAGGTGGGTGGCAATCAATGAGTTCAGAGTCGAGACAGTCCGCTAACACAGCTGAAACCCTGTCTCTACTAAAATACAAAAATCATTAGCTGGCATAGGTTAGCAGGGCACTGTAGTCCCAACTACTCGGGAGGCTGAGGCCAGGAGATGGTGTGAACCCGAGAGCAGCAGAGCTGCAGTGAGCCCGGAATGGCGCGCACTTCGCACTCGCAGCCTGGGGACGGAGCATGCTCCATCTCCAAAAAAAAAAAGAAAAGAAAAGATAAATGGGACAAAAGCCAAGCCCCTTGTGGAAGGGGAAGTCAGTGAGGGAGAAGGAAAGGAGAGGTGAGGAGACCATTTGCCGTCACTGGAATTTACCTTCGTGTGGCCTTTTAATTTTGATATTCATTGTCTTTATGAAATGGGGTTAGGTCATTGCTCCTTGTCTTGACAAATCGTAGAAATTGCCTAGACAACATATATTGATAAACTCATCCCATGACTAGACAAAGTCTCCAACACTCCAGTGCTGGGAGCTCCAGCTTTCCACACCACCGATGTTCTGCGCCCCTGCTGTGGTCCCTCATTCCGCTTCCCAGGAGGGCGGGCTAAGATCCTGGGAGGGTGGACCCTGCACGGCTCTGCTCCCTTTGATATGCATCCCGAGACAGTGAAACCCACAGATAACACAGCTGAGGTGCTGAGAGCCCCAGAAGATGGTTTGCTCCCTGACAGGTTCATTCCTCACTGAGGATGGAGAGTGTGGGAGGAGGAGCCGCAGAGGTGGCTCCTGTGACGAAGGCGGTCTTGCCCACTGCCTGTGTGATTCCCGTGCATCTCTGGATATGTTTTGGAAGTTGTTTCCTAAGGAAGTTCTTCCAGCCATTTCCCCGCACAGCATTTTTTTTTGGCGGGGTTGGGGGGGCGGTTGGGGGTGATTGTTGTGAAGGATGGGGGTCATCTGGAAGGATGAGTTTAGATGCATTTCACTGTTGCCGTGGTCCAAACCCAGGTTCTTCATCACAGTCCCATGTGCTGCTCTTGCTGGCAGTGACTGTGGCTGGTGAGGTGAGAGGTGCAGGTGAGGAGAAAGGGTTTTCCGGAGCGAATGGTACGTGGGGGACTGGATGTAGCTATTAAAATGCACATACACCTTCTCTTCATAAAGTTTGCCCCTGGATTCGACCACAGTGGGGGGCAGCTGGTTTCATTGTGTGGGATCCACTGGAAAAGCGTTCTGAAGAGTTCTGGGAAAGAGAGAATTTGCAAAGCCAGCTGGTCAGAGGAACAGGGTCATTGGGACAACAGTTGTCATTAAGAGGATTTTCCCAGAGCAGTGTTTATTCCACAGTAGCAGACGGGGATCCAGTAGACTGCAGAGGTGGGGCTGAAGTGGGTCTGCACTGTCGCAGGCCCTGCTACTGGCTGATTTGCCCTTTGCATAGAGCCTGCTGTGGGGCCCAAGGGGGACGTCAGGGCAGCCAGGTGGGTTCCCCAAACCATAGCTCTTGGAGGACATGCAGTTGTTTACTGAGCTCTACTGGGAAGCTCTGGCTATTAGATGTCCACTGCAGCCACCAGGCACTTGGCCGCCTTCCTGGAAGAGCCACCATAAAGGGGAACTCCCCCCACCCCGACTGTCTCAGCTGGAAGAGACTTCGTCTCTGGGCTCCTGCTCAGGTTCAGGCAGGTGAAGGAAAATGTCATGCACTTTCTTCATGGTTCTTCTTGCCTTGGCTTCCCGCAGGGTTTCTGGTTTTGGATACTCAGTGTCTCCCTTTGGCTAGAAAAGTATGATGCATCCATTGTGCCGCCACATGCTGGTGAGGGGCAAAGCTTGAGCTTCAGAGGCTCATCACAGTTAGGGCGGCGTTCCTCCGCAGTGTCTGCCAGCCCTGTGGCAGGTGGTCGGTCTCAGGTGGACCCCGTGCCCTCCTCTGCAGACGCGCCACCCACACGCCACTGTGCCAGGCAGGGCTTCTGGAGGACGTGGGTGTGGGGTTGTTTGTGTTGCATGTAGCCCGGCTCAGAGGCTGCTGCGTGCTCTTTTCTTCCCAGCTGTAGCTGTGCTCTGTGCCAGCAAAACACGATCTCGGGACCCTAAACTCCCTCTGCCAAAGAGGAAGTTACACACTGGACCTGGGTCTAAGGCTGCCTGCCTTTTGCTCCCAAGCAGACAGCTGTCACTTCACAGCCCCGGGTCGTAGCCCCGTGTCCTATATGTCTGCTGTCACATGTTACTTTATGTTGTGTAAAACGTCGCTTTCCTGAGCTAGAGGGGATGCGTGATCGTCTTTGTCCTGCCCTGCCCCCCATCGCCCTTTCTCCCTCCAGCTTGCTTTCCCCTTTAGACAGCGATGTTTAGGAAGCCCCTTTGGAAAAGCAGAGGCCATGGCACTCCTGTGATTTGTGTTTCCTGGGCCGCATCCTCAACCTTGGATAAATCAACCTCGAGTCAGCGGAGACAGTCCCTAAGTCCCTTTTTGGTTTATGGCTCCAAGGAGGAACCTGGCCTCTGGCTCCCAGAAGCGGTGTCTTGTCCTTGTTTGGTGGCAGGACCGCACCCCAGCTTCACAGCTCTGTGTTTAGGATCAGTCCCAGCTTCTGTGATCAGGCCAGGCCACCCTGGGTTTCCTCTGCTCGTCTCTCCCAGAAGGGCTTGGGGATTGTGCTTTCCAAGGTTCTTGAGGTCACTGGGTCAGTGCACTCATTTCCGGAGGCCACTCCATGGCAGGCTGCACGTGACACGGAGCATGGCGCTATCCCAGCGGGAGTCTGTCTGTTTCTTTGCCGTTGTATTGTATACCACGAATAAACCACAGAGGGTGGATCTGCTTTCCATCTCAGGCTACCGTGATTCCAGCAGCTGTGAACATTCTTGCTTTGGTGTTTGGATGGAAGCCTTGCCTGCTGGAGATTGAGAAGTTCACATTGCGTTGTTTAAGGATATGTCATGTCCAGCACTGGCTCCTTGTATGTGCTGGCTGCTATCCTCGAAGTTGTCCTTAGAGCATCCTGGCAGGTCAAGACAGCCCCAGAGAAGTCTGCATGTTTGTATCCAAGGCCAGCCACTGCAATGAGGTTCTTTTTCAAATGAGTGACTTTACTTCCTGGTCATTTAATTTTAATACTTGTCAAAGGCTGTTTTTATTTTAAAATAAAATTTTACACCAGGCACAGTGGCTTAAGCCTGTAATCCCAACACTTTGGGAGGCCGAGGTGGGTGGATCACCTGAGGTCAGGAGTTCGAGACCAGCCTGACCAACATGGTGAAACCCCGTCTCTACTAAAAATACAATATTAGCCGAGTGTGGTGGTGCATGCTTATAATCCCAGCTACTTGGTAGGCTGAGGCAGGAGAATCGCTTGAACCCAAAGGCGGAGGTTGCAGTGAGTCAAGATTGCACCATTGCACTTCTGCCTGGGCACCAAGAACAAAACTCTGTCTCAAAAATAAAATAAAAAATTTTAAATTTTGTTTACCTATGTGACGGTTTTAATTTTTTCTAACTGTTCTTTGCAGCTAGATACTAGGGTTACTTAATTTACACTCTTACGTGATTCTCATCTAGAAGTTGCATAAGGTACAAAAAAGTATATATATATATGTGTGTACATGATGGAGTTACATATAAATAACCTGTAGGAAAATCTGACATTGATTTTGTGCAGAAACTTCATCTGGAAACACTGAAGGTGCCTCCATTAGCAGAACTGCACAGCCACCTCTGAAAAGGTATGTCCACTCGGCATGGAGGAGTCGGCATCCCTTACCCAGTAAATAAGATCAATGAATGTGTAGGTCTTTCTCTCTTCTTCTAGCTTCCACCCACAAATAAAATGGTTCCAAAAAGAAGATGTCGTCATCTTAAAGATAAGAATAAGGAATGTAAAGGACTGCAAGTGTCAGTATTTCAGGGACAGAGTCGTTTTCAGGTAGGTTTATGTATAGTCATATAAAGTAAAATAGAAATAATTTCTAGCATTTTAAAAGGTTGACTTTCTTTTTATAAACCCAGTGCTTGGGTGGGAGACAGATTTTACCTGGCTGATCTGGAGCTGCGGGGCAACATAAGGAAAGATGAGTGCAAATGTGTAATTAGAAACGAGGAGCCTGTGATCACTCTGGCCAAAGAGAGAAGGGAGGCATGGTGTCACCTACTCAGACAGAGGGTGAGTTGGAATGTGCTCAGAGGGTGGTCTTTACCCTGAGTGTGTCATACTCACCCACTCACTGTCAGCTGTTCTCTTGAGCAGAACCCCAACGTGGCTTTTGATTTTGATCACTGGGAAGACTGTGAAGAGGACAGCCAGTTCCCCAAGGGTAAGGTGTGGAGCGCCCACTCTCAGAGGGGTTGTAGGTCCTGAGGGCAGTGAGGGACACCATCACCCCCTTAGGAATTCAGCCTTGGTGGAAGTGGGCCGTTCACATCAAGCCCTGAGAAATTAGTTTTCTCTTTGTTGATCTCGGTGCTAAATGTTCTGGTTTGAGTACTTTTCAACCCTTGGTGATAAACACACCTTTTAATAACACACTACAGATATTCTTCCAAGAAGAATAAATTATTTGTAAGCAGACCAATTTGACCTGCTCATTTCTTACCTAAAATAATGAAAATATAAAATAAGATACATAGAGCTGGAATCCAAGGCATTTTTTTCTGCATTGACCCAAATAATAGGGGGAAATAAAGAAAGATTTGCTGTTTAGTCTACACTTAACTTATTTGTTATAATATCTTATTCCTTTAGTAGTGAATTCTAAAAGCCTGCCGTACACAGTGGCAGAGATGGTTGAAGACAGTAGCAGCAGCACTTCAGAGGATGATGACAGTGAGAGTGAATGATGTCCTCAAGAGCGGCTGGAAGATGTTGAACAAAAATGGATATTGCCATGTGACTTCAAAGTTAAGAAAACAGTCAGTCATAACCAAATCTTTCTTTCTTTCTTTTTTTTTTTTTTTGAGACAGTCTTGTTCTGACGGCCAGGCTGGAGTGCAGTGGCACGATCCTGGCTCACTGCAACCTCCGCCTCACAGGCTCAAGCAATTCTCCTGCCTTAGCCTCCCGAGTAGCTGGGATTACAGGCATGTGACACCATGCCTGGCTAATTTTTGTATTTTTAGTAGAGACAGGGTTTCACCATGTTGGACAGGCTGTTCTCGAACTCCTGATCTCAGGTAATCCTCCCACCTCAGCCTCCTAAAGTGCTGGGATTACAGGCATGAGCCATCACACCCAGCCAACCAAATCTTTCTTTACCTCAAGGATAAATGATTACTGTCATCTTGTGGTGCTGGACTTGGTAATGGTGAGAAATTCTTCATTGACTTAAAAATAGACTGATGACAAGACCATCAAAGGAGGGTGGACACAGAGAAACGGCACATGTAGTCTGATCCTGCTGGCTTGTCTGTCCTGTCCGTGCCTCTCGCCACTCACCCTGGCAGAGCAGACGTGCATCTGGGTGGTGAAATGCACTGTCTGGAGTCAGTCCATTCATTTTTTTTTCACCTAGACCTCTGTTTGATGCATTGCTACAAACCTGATCTTATACATATAAATTGAGGTTTCTAATATAAATTGAGGTTTCACACTTACACTCAGCAACATTGAACCAGCCCTTTCAACCATGAGCTAGTGGGATTTAACATAACCATCTGTGTGAATTGATAGTGTTGGCGTTCTTGGATAGTGACAGCTCCTCAGAATGAGTTGACTTCGGATGAAGAGAGAGTCCAAGGATAGAAATCGGATTGCTCAGTAAGACCCAGGGCTTTCCGGGGTGAAGCTGCTGTTTCTAAACAATCCCTTGGACCTGCAGGGTCCTGAGCAAATGGCACAAAAGTTGCTTTTTAGTGGAAACTCACAAGGGCCTATGGGGTGCCTGGAGGTGACCTCTGAACACCTACATGTTGTGAGCCCTGCAGACATTCGCCACCCCATCTGTGTGTGGCTGCAGCACCCAGGGTCACCAGGTTTAGGGGAGGAGTGTATTTAGTCATGGCCACACCCAGAGGCTGGCTGGCTTTTGTGCTTTGGGTTTGTTGAGTGAAACGCGAGAAATGTGAGCTGTTGGGAAGTTAAAAGTCCCGCGCACTTAGTGTCTGTTTCTCAACTTCGCCTCGGAATGGAAGAGAATTCGGATAGAACATGAGTGTTGTGTGGCGGCCCCAAGATCATTATTGTTTTTTTTGCTTCAGAAAGCGCCGTTGCCCAGGCTTACGTATGTCCCAGCAGAAGCCACTGCTTGAACTAGAGGCGGACTTTGTCATCAAGCTGTCCTGTGAGCAGGTCTGGATCACACTCTGGCTCAGTTTTCTCATCTATAAAATGAGACAGCCCCTCATTGTGTGGCCTGGCCTTGTCTCAGGGAGCGCCCGCCGAGTGCTGCCAGGTGGGGCAGTCTTTCTGCCCAGTGGCTCCGTGATGGGGGCTCAGAGCCCTGGCCTCCCCTGGGAGGACACGCTGTGCAGCCAGGACAGCTGCTGGAAGTGTGCCCAGGTCACTACTGTGACCTTCGCAGGGTGACTGGCAGGTATCAAATCGGCCCATAAAGTAAGATGGTGATTTTCCTTTTTCTTAGCTAAATTGGGCAGGCTCTTGGGAAGTAGAAAGTTCTGGTGGTTTTGCTGGCAAAGGTTTTGACTGTGGAGCTCTTCTAACACCCATGTGAGTGTCCATTTCTCTGCATGTGGCTGCTGCCCTGTTGGTGGAGGTCTGGGGGCAGAGACCAGGCCACCGTCCGGTGGCTCCCGTGCGCACCAGCTGCCTGCTGTTTACGCCCTGGTGCGCCGAGTCTCTTTAGTACAACATAGCAAATGATAATAGCTAGTGACATTGTGTTTCCTGTGCACGTGTGAAAATGCAGGGAGGACAACTGCGTGCTTAGATCTGTTTCTTTTTTCAGACATTCAAACGTTCTAATATCTGAATCTCTTAACATTTTATAGGATATCGGATGCTGATTATGTGAACAATTCGTAATTGGTTTTCTGTACTGCTGTGAATATGTCTGATTTCAAGTTTTGGGCAAATACCTAAAATGCAAGGTGAAAGTGCCTTTGTCTGTATGCTTCTAAAATCGCTCATACTTAGTTGTGGTGTGGCTGCCTTTTGCAGCATATCATCAATAAAATTTCAGTGTTTTCACAGAAATGTTGCTTTTTACATACGTTAAACAGTACTTTCCCTGAATGCCAAACACAAAATAAAACTTTACTCACCACACTTTCTGGTTTGACTAAAACGCCCATGAAGGCTGCTGGGGAGCCAGCAATGCTGACTGGCAACACAGGCGACCCTCGTGATGAGCACATCAGCTGTGGAGAGTTCTGGACGGAGGCTCAGCTCTTGCCATTTATCCTGGTAGATACATGCCACGCACATCACGGGTTCAGCACAGGGGTGCCAGTACTTTTAGGGTAGGGGAGAGTGGGTGATAAATATTTATACTTTAATATTTTTACATATTTATTTAGAGTTGGGGTCTCTGTCATCCAGGCTGGAGTGCAGTGGCTCACTACACCCTCAACCCCCAGGCTCAGGTCATCCTCCCACCTCATTCTCTTGAGTAGCTGAAACTACAGGAGTGCATCACCATGCCTGGCTAATTTTTTAATGTTTTTTGTAGAGACATGATTCTGCCATGTTGCCCAGGCTGGTCTTGAACTCCTGGACTCAAGTGATCTATCCACCTTGGCCTCCCAAAGTGCTGAGACTATAGGCGTGAGCCACCGCACCTGGCCAGTAATTTACTGTTGTTTAAATCTAAATCAAAGCAAAAATGTCATCCATTTTATATAAAAGAAGAGCCCTTATTGACATTGAGTTTAAAGAATGCCTTTCATTTAAGTGTCATATGCCCTTTGTTAAATAGTTGCCACTGTGATGGTGGCTTTTATTCAGCCCTTCCCTAAGCGTCTGCCTTCTGTTAGGTGACATCTCACCTGACAGCAACTTTAGCAAACACTTGCCACTTCTCCTTTCTGGAACCCCCACCCAGAGAACTAAGAATATCTAAAAATAACAATATTTTAAACATCTGAGTATATTTTATTCATAAGAAAAAAATCAGGAAGAAATAACCACAAATATTGCTTAAGAAAATAAATTCAGCTTTGACTTGGCTACAAGAGATGGAGCTTGTTACTCAGGGTCTTCCTCCGGTGGGACCACTTCCATTAGCATCTGAAGGTGCATGGTAATTGGCTCTGAAATAAGAGTCAAAAATGAGTGCAGTTAGACCGAAATTCAGAAGCTCCACTGGAGTTGTGGGTGAGGGTGACGTTGTTCTCAGTCTTTGGTGATGTGTCACCTAGACCCTGTGCTCGGGGTTTGGCCAGCTTTCCTGCCTTCTGGTTGGATTTTCACGCTTTCCTGGTTTGTGTCTTCTCCCAAAATTGCAGGAATAGAAAGAAAAACCTCCTAGGACTGTCTGGAGGAGCGACTGCACTGTCCAGTTGAGACAAGCTGAACAGGAGAAACAGGCAGGCTTTTAATCACATTCACTTAGTAAATCTTAACTGGCTGTTACAGGCTGCTGCAGCCAGAGTTAAATTGCGCAGAGCCCAATTCCTCTCGTTAAGGAGCTCCTGGGAGAGGGAGAGGGAGAGGGACAGGAAGACCAGGAAACGGATCGCCTCACCGCCCCATGAGGATGCCCAGAAAGTCTTAAAGGCTTTTAGAAATGGGGTTTCCTGCAGTTGAATCTGTTGTGTAGGATAAAACATTGTTAGACTTTTTGTTTTGGTTCACGCCATTCTCCTGCCTCAGCCTCCCGAGTAGCTGGGACTACAGGCGCCCGCCACCACACCCAGCTAATTTTTTTTGTATTTTTAGTGGAGACGGGGTTTCACCATGCTAGCCAGGATGGTCTCCATCTTATGACCTCGTGATCTGCCCCCTCAGCCTCCCAAAGTGCTGGGATTATAGGTGTGAGCCACCGCGCCTGGCCCTATATGAACTTTTTTAAAGGTGTAATTCAGTCTCTTTTGATGTATTTTGACACAAGTGCTTTCTTTTCAGAAGCGAAAGTGGCTAATATAGCTAAACTTTTAAACAAAAACTGTCCTGAAATTGATAAGGGTCAGGACCGCTGAAAGAGGGAGCCCTGTGCCCTTGGCAGTAGAAGACTTGGGCCCCCGCCCAGTTCCCCAGGCCAAGGCCATGACTTTTTGGGTGTCTTTGTGATGCTGCTAGACCTCTTAGATGATGTCTGCATGTCAGGCAAAGGAGAATGGTGTTTCGGGATGAGGCGCACGATGGTGGGAATATGCCTAACACTACTGAACCTTGCACTGAGAAGTGGCTGAGATAGTAACGTGTGTGTGTCTTTTGCAATTAAAAAGAAAATGGGGCCAGGTGCAGTGGCTCATGCCTGTAATCCCTGCACTTTGGGAGGCTGAAGTGGATGGATCACCCGAGGTCAGGAGTCCAAGACCAGCCTGACCAACATGATGAAACCCTGACTCTACTAAAAGCACAAAACAACAACAACAAAATTAGCCAGGCATGGTGGCAGGTGCCTGTAATCCCAGCTACTCAGGAAGCTGAGGCAGGAGAATCTCTTGAACCTGGGAGGCGGAGGTTGCAGTGAGCCAAGATCGTGCCAGTGCACTCCAGCCTGGACAAGAGCGAAACTGTCTCAAAGAAAATGGGTGGGCGCAGTGGCTCACATCTGTAATCCCAGCACTTTGGGAGGCCGAGGCGGGTGGATCACCTGAGGTCAGGAGTTCGAGACCAGCCTGGCCAACATGACGAAACCTCATCTCTACTAAAAATACAAAAATTAGCCGTGCGTGGCTACTCAGGAGGCTGAGGCACGAGAATCACTTGAACCCAGGAGGTGGAGGCTGCAGTGAGCCGAGACTGCACCACTGCACTCCAGCCTGGGCAACAAAGTGAGACTGTCTCAAAAAAAAACGGCCAGGTACAGTGGCTTAGGCCGGTAGTCCCAGCACTTTGGAAAGCCAAGGTGGGAGGATCGTTTGAGCCGAGGAGTTCAAGACCAGTCTGGGCCACCTAGCAAGACCCCTTATGTACAAAAAATAAAAACAGTAGCCAGGTGTAGTGTGTGCCTGTGGTCCAGGCTACTTGGGAGGCCCAGGTGGGAAGATGACTTGAGCCTGGGAGTTCAAGGCTGCAGTGAGCTATGACCATGCCACTGCACTTTAGCCTGGGCAACAGAGCAAGACTGTGTCTCCAAAAAGAAAAGAAAATGATGCTTTCCCTTCCTACTTATTATAGTAATTGACAGGAACAAAATAACCAAGGGTGGACCCAGAGGTATCCAGTGAGGGCGTGGGCATGTGTCCTCCTGGGACAAGGGAGATCTGCCAGCAGGGTAAGACACTGTGACAGAGGTCTTGGAGTCAGGACAGGTGAGGACGCCGTGCCTGCCTGCACCTCACAGAAGCCAGGCGGCCCTTCTGTTGGTACTTACTTGATATTTTCTGAGCCCATCCAAACTTGTAGTGGACAAACAGGAAGTAAAATATAAGGCCGCTTAATATAAACAGCACACAGTAGAGGTACTCCCATGCAGGCTTGCTGATGATTGGAGCCAGAATCAAAAACACAGAGATGAATGTCACCAAGACAGGGATGACTATGGGCACCTGGAGGTGAAAAATGGGTCACAGTGTGGCCATGGGTACTAGTTTTCTTTTTGAAAATTTTCATTATTAAAAAAACCAATTTTTATAAAAAGAGTGTGAACTCTATGTACCCCCTCCTCCAATTTCAGTAATTTTAATGTAATTTTGCCAATCTTATTTCATCCATACCTTTTTAAAAATTTCACTTTTTAAAAAATTTTTTGGCTGGGCGTAGTTGCTCACACCTGTAATCCCAGCGCTTTGGGAGGCCGAGGCTGGTGGGTCCCTTGAGGTCAGGAGTTCAAGACCAGCCTTGTTAACATGATGAAACCCCGTCTTTACCAAAAACACAAAAATTAGCCGGGCGTGGTGGCAGGTGCCTGTAATCCCAGCTACTCAGGAGGCTGAGGCAGGAGAAACGCTTGACCCCAGGAGGTGGAGGCTGCAGTGAGCCGAGATCGTGCCATTGCACTCTAGCCTGGGCCACAGGAGGGAAACTCCATCTCAAAAAAGAAAAAAAAAAAGATAAACTGTTTAATGTTTTAGCATCCACTGATGATCGTTGCCTTCGTTATTTCATCAGGGTTTGCAAAATGGTGATTTTTCTAATTTGTCATTTCTTCCTCAGTTATCTGAAATGCTATATGAAGTACTTCAACTTTCTGGTTATTCTGAATTGCAGTTCATACAGGAACGGCAGAATCAGTGCTCTGTTCTATATGTTTTCAGAATGACAAGTTGGGCCCCTGAGACCTCCGAAGGCAACTCTCTATACGTGGTGAATATCAATCCACTGTAGTCATTGTTCATGTTGTTCAGAAGGTCCTGTGCGGGGCAGCAGGAGCCCTTCACACTGCCCTGGGCCCTGGGGGTGGGATGCCAGTGCTCTTCAAAAGCCTCTCTGTGGCCGGGCGCGGTGGCTGAAGCCTCTAATCCCAGCACTTTGGGAGGCCAAGACGGGCGGATCACGAGGTCTGGAGGTCAAGACCATCCTGGCTAACACGGTGAAACCCCATCTCTACTAAAAAAACACAAAAAACTAGCTGGGCGAGGTGGCTGGCGCCTGTAGTCCCAGCTACTCAGGAGGCTGAGGCAGGAGAATGGCGTAAACCCAGGAGGCGGAGCTTGCAGTGAGCTGAGATCCGGCCACTGCACTCCAGCCTGGGCGACAGAGCGAGACTCCGTCTCAAAAAAAAAAAAAAAAAAAAGCCTCTTTGTTTTCTAGGTGACAAGAAGTGCCAGACCTGGGTTTTCATTCATCTCTCCAGAAGCAGACCTGGGTTTTCATCCATTTCTCCAGACAGCTTTGTTCCTTTTAGCAGGAAATGGCATTTAAAGACCATAACCTAGAGGCTGGGTGCAGTGGCTCACTCCTGTAATCCCAGCACTTTGGGAGGCCGAGGCGGGCAGATCACTTGAGTCTAGGAGTTCGAGACCAGCCTGGCCAACATGGTGAAACCCCCGTCTCTACTAAAAATACAAAAATTAGCTGGGCATGGTGGCAGATGCCTGTAATCCCAGCAACTTGGGAAGCTGAAGCAGGAAAGTCGCTTGAACCCGGGAGGTGGAGGCTGTAGTGTGCCACTGCACTCCAGCGCAGGCGACAGTGTGAGACTCTAAAAATAAATAATGAATGAATGAATGAATAAATACCATAATGTGGGTGACTGGAGTACTCATTACCCGTTTACAAGGACAGAGGTTAATTCTGGTATTCTCTTATTAGGAGCAAAGTTCAGTTTGCTGGGACTGTTTTCATTTTTAAGTGTCATTGCATTTTTCCTTTGACTGTGTTTTTTTGTTTGTTTTGTTCTGGTTTTTTTCCCCCAAGACAGAGTCTCACTCTGTACCCCAGGCTGGAGTGCGGTGGCGTGATCTTGGCTCACTGCAACCTCTGCCTCTTGGGTTCAAACAATTCTTCTGCCTCAGCCCCCAATTAGCTGGGATTACAGGCGTGTGCCAACAAGCCCAGCTAATTTTCGTATTTTTAGCAGAGACATGGTTTCACCACGTTGGCCAGGCTGGTCTTGAACTCCAGACCTCAAATGATCTGCCTGCCTTGGCCTCCCAAAGCTCTGGGATTACAGGCATGAGCCAACCACACCCAGCCCCTGAATTAAACTTTTAATTAATGGATTTTCTAGTCTTCAGCTACCTTTGCATAGGCTGGACCTAGTCATGATATATGATCTTTTTAGTGTAACTGGGTTCTGTTTGTTAATATTTTATTTTAGATTTTTTATATCGTTATTCCTAAGTGAGATTGGTCAGTGTATTTCCCTTTTTTGTATGTTACCTTTGTAAGGTTTGGTGTCAGTGTTATAGTCTAAAAATAATTTGAAAAATCAATAAAATCAATAGCTAACCTTAAGGAGAAAGCACAAACACAAATAAAAAATAAAAATGGACAATTAATCTTTACAACATAAGTTATGTTCTAAAGATTAATATAAATCATAAGACTATTTTGTAGAACTATATGCAGATAAATTTGAATACCTAGAAGAAATGGACAATTTTCTAGGAAAATGTAATTTCCTAAAACTGATCTTACTTGCATTAGAATCACGGGGAAATTCTGAAAATCGGACAATTCCAGTATTGCTTAATTTATT